ACTCAGTAGTGTATTAAGGAGGTAGGGAGGGGGGGGGAGTTATGCTCCAGGGAACTTTATTCGGATTATTTTATTCAATGCCTCCATAAAAAATATGATTTGAATCAAGCTAAATTATTGATTGATTTGTCGTAGTAATTATAGCAAGGGACGCCTGGGAGAGGGCATGTTTCGATTTATTTTGAACAAGCTTAGAAATTTTTCACAATTGAAACGAATTATAAAATTATTTATAAATATTTAACCAAATATGATCCTTTTTTTTATTGTATACTATTTTATTTAAAATTATTGATCATTTTAATCAATTATATATTACATAAAAACATAAAGTTTATAAATTAAATATAAAAATAACATATATACTATATATATTTTTATACTAGTTAATTATCAAGTGAATAGACTAAATAATTATATAAATTAATAATTATAAATTTACTGGAAAAAGCAATTTAATTTATACAAAAATTAAAAAAGAAAAAAATAAGTAAATATATTTCTTAATTTGAGAAAGAGAAAAAAAAGGAGATGATTAAAAACAATAAAGATAAGGGGGGAAAGACCTAAATCATCCGGCTACTCAAGAAATTTTAAATTATAATTTTAAAAAAAGAGGGCATATTTTAAATTTTGGAAAACTAATTAAAAAGTATTACATAACAGACATACGCAAGTAATTTATACTATCAAATAAGGGGAAGAATAGAAAAGCTCTTTGTTAATCTTAGATTTTTTTATTAAATTTAATAAGCTGGGGGCTGTTATTAAAAAGCCCGATTTGGGTCAAAGTTTAAAAACTGTCTGATTAAGATTTTAGCCAAAATATTAATCTGCAGTGACGAAGCGTCAAGTTTAATACTAAGGAAACAGAAAAATATTTTTAATTTTTATTAATCAAACCATACAAAAATTAAATTTATTATTAAGCGGAATTCATCTTTTTTGTGTAAAATTTTAGGTGATATTTTGCGCCCAATTCTATCATATTTTCAATTCGATTTTTTGCCAAATTATTATAATTGAATCATCGACTACATGAGCTGTTGATTCTTTATATTGTTAAACTGCCTTCAAAATAATATTCATATCCAAAAATCTTTTATCATTTCAAACATATTTTTCCTTTGGAGATAATAGACATGACCAGTAATATAGCAAGGGTGTCACTAGCCTTTAGAATCTCAGGGCGCTCAAATTATTTTCAAAATTACCTTTTTTATAGCTTTTCTTTGTAGTGATATTTAAAATTTTAAGGGGACTCTTTAAATTTTTCAGGCGTCTGGAACCTCCCCTCCCCCTAGTGACGCTATCAAAGTATAGAGAATTAGAAAATTTATATCCAGGAGCCACTCATATTTTTCATATTTATCGATAGAAAAATTGCGAATGCAAGTTTCGATTTCTTTTTTCAAGTTTTATAAAATTGGTTTTGGTCTTCCCTTTTCAATAATCAATTCTTCACATCAAAATTTCTTGAGCTATATGATATTTTTAATAATAAAATTGCAATTATTAGACATTTTAAATTAATTAATTCTTTTAAAAAATAATGAATATTTTAAAAAGGAAGTGATAAAAATATATTTTAAAAAATTTTTCATTCTCTTTTAATTAAAAAAAATATAAGCATTTTTTTATTTGCTTCCTCAATTAAGCAGTTCATTCGCATGATTTTCTCTTTATTTATTAAAAAATAAGCAATTTTGTGTTTAGTTTCCTAAGCTAAGGTTTATATTTTTTATCGTAATAAAAAATTTAAAGCAAAAATTTGTATGAGCATAATTTTTTCTTAAAAATAAGCAATTTTAATTTGCTTCACCCATGTATATTTTTTCTTAACGCAACAAATATAATAATATTTTTTACCATATAATAGTAATAATATTATTTTTTAAACGTAGTTAAAATAATAAATTTTGAGTGCTATAATATATTTTTTTTTAACATAGTAAAAATAATGATAAATTTTTTAACTTATAATAATAATATTAATTTTTAACGTTATAAAAATAATATTTTTATTTTTTATTAAGTCAGATTAGTATTAATTTTCTAAGATATATAAAATATAATGATTATATTAATTTTATTTAAAAAATTTTTAAGAAAAATTTCAAGGGAAAGGACGCTTCTTCACTGTTTTTATGTATGCCTCGATATTTAGCAATAGAGGTCCAAACCTTTCTGCCATTCATGAGCAAAATCTCCAGGATTACATAATTTTATTTTGGCTGAATCTTAATCGGGCCATTTTTAAAAACCGATCCAAATCAATCCTTAACTACACTATCTAGGTTCTTGATTTCTCCTTATCGCACTATAGAAGGTTTATCACAGGCACGTACGCAGGAATTTAGTCTGGGGGGGGGGGGGGTAACAAAATTATAAAAAAATTATATGTAAAAAATCACTTAAATGACTTAAAATGGAAATTTGAATTTTTTGAACCTTTAAAATTTATATATAAAGTATAAAAAATTTAATGTGGGAAATATATTAATACACAAAAAGTTTCTTAGGAATAATTATATTTTGTATGTTATATATTTACAATGTAATATCCAATCTTCGTTGGGATTGAGCTAATTTTTCAATTATCTCATCCTTGCTTGTCGTCAAATGCCTATGAATATTCAAAAGATTCAAACCTTTCAATATACTTTCAGAAGTTGTACTTCTTGGTATGTTTTTCAGAGACCTGCATACCCGGTACCTGGGCCGGATTGTTTAATTTATTTAAATATTCTCGGGCCTGGCAAAATTTTTTTTAAAAAACACCCGGGCTGGGCCTGATTTTTTTGAAAAAAACACCCAGGCAGAGTCTGATAATTTAAAAAAATATCCGGGCCGGGTTGTATATTTTAAAACAGCCTATACTTGAAATCGTTATTATTAGCAATAAAAATCAAAAATAAATATAATTTATTTTAAAAAAATCCGGGCCGAGCCTGAAAATTTTATTTTAAAAAAGCTGGGCCGGGCGGGTAAATTTTTTTAAAAACCCGGGCCAGGCCTTAAAAATTTTTTAAAAAAAAATCCGGGCCGTGCTGGGCTCTCTTATTCTTCTTAAAAAAGAGAATGTTCTCATTAGTTTACTAATGGGAAGAGTTGCTAATATATATATATATATATAACCATTTTAATAAATTGGGAATATAATCTAAAATCTATGAAATAATGCAAAGCATCCTTAGCATTTTTTGGGACTGTATCAACCATAGTTATTCAGATAATAAGGCATCATAAGATATTTTAACATCTCATGTAAAAATCTAACAAATATTTTTTATTTTTTTCTATCACCATCTGAAAAAGGTTGGAAAGGCTTTTGTGGAAGTAATATCTGCGTTGTAGCTGCATGATGAATTAAAAACCATTCATTTAAATGTATCTAAGAGAGAGGGCATTTGTTTTATAATACTCTTTTACTTATCTTATTTATATTAATGTTTTGACGATGAGCGCTTGCTGCAAGTCGAGAGGGGCAAATATTAAACACGTATGGTTCTGCTTTTGACTCAAGAATAACATATAAAATATGAAATTCTTCATCAACATTAGCTCTTATTTCCTTGAGTTATAATAAAATGCTCTCCGCTATTCTCATCTTCTTAATCAAGTCAATGTCATGTTTTTGAAAAGTATTACATAAAATAGTTGTATAATTAAATAATACATTCTAATGAGAAAAAAAATTTGGAATAAGTATTGAATCCAATAATTTTCTTGCTTCTGAGGATATTTCTTTCAAGCAATTGTGATATTTCAGTAATAGTAAAAGCTGTTACTGCATGATGGCGGAGACTCGATCTCGTTGGACAAGCTTGCAATTTCTTTCTCCCTGTTGGACAAGGAGTTTCAGAGATAATTATTATTTGACTAGAAATTTAGATAAATACTAGGTAAATTGCGCCAAGGAAAACTTGAAATCGAAATTAATTGATAAAATAACTTAGTTGATGAATGTGGTAATAAATGTAATTAAATATATATTTAATATGAGATAGGAATAAATATTATGTTTTAATTTTTTTACCGAATAAAGATTATTAAATTTTAAAAAAAACGAATATAAATTAATATAAACAATAATATTTTCGAAAAATATATCCAGCATCTGCATTTTTAAGCATTGGGGATGGGGGATTTGCCCCCTCCCTCGCTGCATACGCGGCTGGTTTATCAGTTTTATTAAAATTAGTCTATTTTATGAAATCTTATAAAGTAGTTAAAGGCACTTTTTGGTCTAGACCGACTTTTAGTTTTTATATTTTTATACAACAATCCTTATAAAATTATAAATTTATTAGTTATATTTTGTTAGGCATTAATTTTACATTGATACCATCTATTCTAATTTTCCTTTTTAGGTTAATCATTTTCCTTTTTCTCATTGATTATTCCGATCCCCTTAATCTCTCTGATTATAATTTGTAATGTAAGTCCTTGAATGAGATATTAATTTTTATAAATAGCCTTTATTTATTATTAAATAAATTGAAATATACTTACTCATATTAAATCCACCCTATATTTTTCATTTATTTTTTAATGAAAATACCACTATCAAATACAATTTTATGCTTTTATAAATCGATATTTTAGAATTGTAAAATAATTTTTCCCATACTGTTTAATTTGCTCATTAAAGATCATCAAATTCATAAGACTAAAATAAAATCAGCTATATAAGTTTAATGCCAAAAATCCTATATTGATAATCTTTACAAATATACAGATTATCACAAGTTTTTGTTACGATATTAATAGTCACATCTTTTCTAATTAAGTCATATGGATATTTATTAAACATAATTTCATATTAATTTCATAAGCACATTTTTTGATTATCTTTTTTCTCAAATTTACAGAATAATTAAAAAACAATTTTAATAGTATATTTCGAGGAAATAATTTTTTGCGCATGCGCGTCATATGTTATCACGTGACAATAAATCTTTCCACAAAATACCTTTTATTATTTTTTTTCGTCATTCATTTGATATTTTAACATTGATAAAATGAAAATTTTTAAATAATAGTATAGGTGATTTATTATATTACATACGGAATTTAATTTCAATTTTGCTAAATATTTCTCCTGTATCTTTATTTTTTGATGACGAAAATTTTTTAAAATTCGATTTTTTTAGGTAATTTAAAGAGTTTTTTAAAACTTATATAATTAGCTTCCAGTTTGTTACTACTCTTAATTCATTTTCATGGAACCTGAAACTAATCAACAATCTGCTGGACCACAATTATGTAAGTCAGGTTGTGGGTTTTATGGTAGCTCTTCAACTGATGGTCTGTGTTCCAAATGCTATAAAGATACTACCGTTACCACTCAGTCTTCTATAGGCCCCTCCATAACATTATCATCAACTTCTAATCAAAACTGTAAATTAAAATTTTTTAAATTAATTTTATTTTTTTTTAGATAACCTCTCCTCAAAAGAACTACGGTCTGATCAGATAAATGAAGTAATAACATATTATCAAAAACATTTTATTCTTTAATTTTAATTTAGGTTTTAAATCTATTATCAAATTCATCAAAATCATCCCTTCTTTTAAAAAATCACAAAGATTTAACTAATTCTAATCGCCTGTTAGATTTTTCAAATATTAATGTTAATGCAGACGATAAATCATATGCAGATGAAGATAAACATAAGACAAATTTTTTAGAAAATGTTAATAGTCAAGCCTTATCAGAAGACACAAATGAAAATTCTAATTTAGATAATCTTATTAACCAGTCAGATATTTCTCTTGATAGCAATTCCTTAAATAGTCATAGCTGCAATCAAAATGATGATGAAAAGCAGGATATGGATATTTTAGAATCAAATTTATCATCCTCATCACCAAATGCCTTAGCCACTGCCTCCTCACATAAGATTAAATCTAACAGATGTTATTTTTGTCGTAAAAAAATTGGTTTATCAGGTTGAATAAATATTTTATAATGATTATAAATATCTTATAAATAGGTTTCCCTTGTCGTTGTGGTGGAAATTTTTGTTCCATTCATAGATATTCAGACAAACACAATTGTAATTTTGATTATAAAGAATTAGCGCAATCAGAAATTCGTAAAAATAATCCAGTAGTTCAAGCTCAAAAAATTCAAAAAATATGAATGTATTTATCAAATTTAGAATATGTCAATTTTTTTCATTAATTTGTCTGAAAAGTTGTCTATGAAAATATAATAATGGAATATCCTCTTTTCATTCATGATTGAATGTACATAATTTTTATTAAAAATTGCAATCTTTTTTAATATATATCTCAATTCTTTTTATTATGTGATAATAAATTATAAACCTTTAACTTATTAATACTATACCTCAAATTTAAAATTATTAAGTATTAGCATATATGGTTGTCTTTTTGTTTAATAAATTTTTCAAACTAATAGATTAGTTTTAAAAAATTACAATTTAATGGTCACAATGTTTAATATGATTTTTTATTTGAAAAAAAATATTTATAATATACCAATCTTACTTTTTTAAACTCAATAAATTAATGATTACTTATTGGATGTCAAAATAATGTGTTACCTACTTATTAGTATATGAATGAATATTAAATACTTTAAATTTTTTCTACATTACATTTCACTGACTATTTGCATTTTATTTTAGTTAATTGAGGTTATTATGGCACAATTATGTTCAGAAATGTCCTGGATAAAAGGCACTGGACATTTTTGCCTTGGTCATTTTGGTCTGATTTATTATTGCTAATAGTGCCCCTCAATGATGTATTTGTAACGCCTAGCCCATTAAATTAAATTTAATCTCTACCCTTTTTTATATCAAATGCCTTTGGATATTTTAAAAGCCCACTCTTTAAAGTGATAAGCTTGGCATTGCCATGACCCTAAGAGTATTTAATATTAATCTAGAAAATATAAATAATATTAAAAAAGTATATAAATTTTTCATGTAAAGAATTTATATCCAGGTTAGATATTTGTTGTAGGCATGCTAGTATAGTTTTGTGGGGAAAATTTGTCCTACTATAATTTGATTGGTTAGTTTGGTTATTTATTTAAAATAGTTTTTTTTAACCTAAACTTATAATTTTGATAAAACACATAAGACCATAAAACAACTAATCCACTTATAGACAAAGCACTCGAGTATGGCCTTATGATTTATATTAGCAAAAAATTTAATTGTACACTCCTATTTAGTAGGGATATTTGTTACACCTCGAAATAGTCTGCTTCCAAAAATAATTAAGCAAAAACATACATTTTCAGACAAAATATAATATTTGGTCAATAATTTTAAAATAAGGCCAGAGACTCATTGGTGGGATGGTCAAACAGAGCTAGTGCTGTTAAGCGGTTCCATCTTTCTTATTTAAAAAAAGGCTAACCAAACCTTTGTGCCATGAGTAAAATATCCAGGTTTGCATAATATTTTTATAAAATATTTATATCCACATCTACCATTTTATGGACCTAAGTAGGGCTAGGGCGATATTAAATATCCGATTGGGACATATATTTAGCGTTTTTAAATATCATAGTCTGTGTTTTAAAAATCTGATCCGATATTTTTATTAGTTTTGGTTACATTATGATTGTAAATAATTATACTATCTTATTTTATACATAATAAATTCCAGTGTCCTACAAGCCCGGCCTTGGTACCAGTGCTGGACCGTATTTAAAATTTTAAAATATACCTGGGCTGGGCCTTAAAATTTTTTTTTTTAAATACCCAGGTTGGGGGCTGTAAAATTTAAAAAAAATTTATACAACATGAATTATTATATTCATCAATTAGATTAGTTATAATGATTATATATAGTAATGATTAATATAATGTTGGGTGTAAGTTAACACTAGCTAACACTCATAGTATCTATTACATAATATAATTATAGTTTTCCTGCCATGGAATAAATATGCAAAAAATTAAATACATTATTATATATTATTTAATATATCTTATATTTTTTATTAATTAAAACTATCAGTTTTATTTTTTTTATAAATACAATTAATATAGTATATTCTCAAAATATTATATACACAAATAAAATTTCCTATTTTAAAAAACCAACTAACTTTCACGGATGATTAAGTGTATTTTATTTTCCAAAGTTTAATCTCATTTCAAGTATTCGCAATGTCTATGGGTGAAAGTAGTGTTGTTAAACAGTTCCATTTAGCCGATTTTTAAAAAGATCTAAATCAAAATTTAGCCAAAATATTATTACCTGCCTCGAAATTTCGCCAATAGAAGTCCAAATGTTTCTGCCATCTCTATGCAAAATCAACAAGCTTAAGTAAGCCCAATATTTTGAGTTAACTGTTTTTAAGCCGTTTAGCAACGCTATCTGAATGTGGCTCGTTAGATATTTTAAAATCTTTTCTTGTTGCAGATAATATTTAAAAAAATAGTGTATAATTTTAACTATTTTTTTTTCATTAATTTATTATCAAATTATTTATAAAATAAAAAAAAATTATATATGTTGGCGTCAATGTCTTTTTTCCGGCAATGTGTTTTTTTTTTCAACTTTACATCATTTTTTGAGCCCGTTTTTTTAAAATTTAAAAATCTGTTTTATCGAAAATATATTCCATCATGTTTTTTATACCTATCTTTGAGTCATTTATAATTTATATAAAAAATTAATATAAATTTTATTAAGTTCAAAAATTCATGACAAAATTGTCTAAAAATTATAGGGTAGGTATTCTAAACATGATGGAATACATTTCCGCGTTCAAAAAATGATTTAAAGTTGAAAAAATAACACATTACCAGATTAAACATATGCTAACATATATAATATAAAATAACCAAATACGATAAAAAATATTAGATCGGTTTTTAAAATAATATCGGCCCGTTCTGTTTTTAAAAAGGCTAAATATCGGTGCCGATCAGATATTTAATATCGGCACAGCCTTAATAGAAATTGTTTTTTCATCTTAAATTTTAAAAAATTGGTTCTATAACATTCTTATTCTTGCTATTAGTGACAGGCTGAAACAATTTTCAGTAGTCATCTAGCTCCAAAATTATAATCTGTAATAGCAATTGAACAAAATTAAAACGAGATTAGAAAAATGTTACTTCTAGTGGGCCGTTGATCTGATCTTGATTGAGAGATAAGAATTTGTTGTCCTTCAGCCTAATCTATTTTTAAAAAAACGAGTCAAATAATGAAGAACAAAAAAAAATCTATCTGGCATAGACTATACATATCGATTTTCACCGTTCCTTTTCCAAACAGTACAATTACAACATCGACCATTATTTTAAATTATGGCCAGTCATGCCGATATTAAATATTGGATTGGGCCAATATTTTCAAAAAATTTGTAACGAGAAGAGAATTTTAAATAAATTTAACGAGTCATGTTCGGCCATAAATCGTCGGCCTAATTAGTTTAAAATTATTCAATGATTTATGTTTCTTTAAAACAGCCCTTATCTGCTAATTTTTTTTATATTTTAGTATTTTAGTATTTTAGACGTTCTATTTTCTTATACATTTGCAATTGAAACAAATAAATATGTTTTAATGGTGGAAAGATATAAATTAATAAATAAAAATCATTCTTTTATTAAATTTATTAAGTGATGACTGATAATTATTGAATCTTTATGATTTAAGTTGACAAAAAGTCATCTCAAAAAGAGGGGCCTTTTGGAAACAATTTAAATTCACTAGCAGATAGTAAACTGTTTGAATCATTGCAAGAGCATTATAAAATGTAAAGGAAGAGCAGGATATTTTTTTAGAATAGTGATAAAATTTTAAAGAATGTTATTTTCTTTACTAATGTGCTTGTATGCGAAAAGTTAGAACTGGTTTTAAAGGTTCAAATCAAACCGATATTTTTTTACGAACCGAACCTGGACCGTAAAATGTTATTTTATCTTAACCTGAACCGATCCAATATTCGTTATGGTTTGGATCCCTGATTAAAACTTTTTAAAGTTAATATAAAAATTAAAACTATAAATAATATATAGCAGGGATTCAAACCGAAGAATATCGGTTCAGGTTCAGCTAAATATTAGGGTCAGTTTCGGTTCACAAAAATAACAATATTGTTTCTATTAGAACCTCTAAAAATTAGTTTGAACTTTTTTATTTAAGCAATAAATTTATATAAATATATTTATTAACTGTAGTTGTTTGCATTGCTTCTACCTTTATGAATTGTATAATATAAATACAATTTAAATCATATTTTGAGCACGTTTTTTAGATTTTAAATATTGATTTTTCCAGAAATTTATCCCAGCATGCTTAGCATACCTATTTAATTGAAGGCAATTTTGCCGTTAACCTTTGAGTGATTTATAATTTATATAAAAAAATCTATGGAAACACTAATATAAAATATATAAGTTCATTGTAAAATTGTCTGAAATTTATAAAGTATGTATTCCGAACATGATGGAATGCATTTTCAATAAAATTAGATTCTTAAATTTTAAAAGACGCCCTCAAAAAAGGATTTAAAGTTAAAACAATAACATATTGCCGGAAAAACACATTACCTATAAAACATATACATATAACATTTATTTTATTATTAATTGCATATAAATAATATCTAATTTATAAATTATAACAAATAAATATCAATTATTGAATCAATGTTGAACAATTTATACTTAAAAAAAATAATATTGAGCCGTGAAATTAAAAAATTTTCTACCTTAGTCAGTTTACATCTTTATAAAAAGTATAAATTTTAATGTTCAAAAGCATCTTTCAACGCTAACTTGAGTAGCACTGCCAATATAACATCAGACTTCTGATTTTGCTAATAGTCGAAATTCATTTCAGGAAAATTAACTCTGATCTCTAATAGATTTCGTTTATGATCATGTTTGTTCTTTAAATGCTTCTTTGTGTGTCTGTTGGCTTGATAAAATCTTAATATTCTTTATTTCTATTGGTTTTTTGTTAATTTTGTAAATTTTAGCGAGTTCTAAAGGATGATTTCTTTTGATGTCACGCTCGAGATATGCACCATGATGGTGTTTCATAATTGTATGGCAATCTGGAACTTCACATTTTGATGTATCATTTATATTACTATACTTAAGTAATTTATATATTAGACTTAATTTATACATAGAGACTAACCAATGATGTATATGTAATACTGAAATGATTTTGGGGTTCGATCGTTTACTAATTGTCTTATCGGTGATTACATTAATGTCATTTTAATCGACTGGCACCATATAATTGAGCTATAGCGGACTCTTCTGTATGTATAATTTTAAATACCACATTTAATACATGAATCGCTAATCTATTAGTATATACACATCATTGACAATTAGATGAGCTTAAAAAATATAAATAATAAAAAAGGAAATTATTTAAAGAATTTTGTAAAATAGCAATTGGCTGATACTTATCAATCAAAATTGAATGACAATAATTTTTAAAACAATTTA